AAAAAACCTGGTACATCCGTCACTAAGCCCAACATTTTATTAATAAAGAGAGGCCATATTTTTTTTAAAAAACGAAAATCTAGGAAACGAGACATAAAAGTAAATGGAAACATGGGCTCTTTTTTGAGCACTGCCAAAAGCTAAACCGCTATCTTTCATAATCTTACGGTGACTTAAAAGAGAAGGCTTTCGGAAAACTCCAGGAAGGGAGCGGATGGGGTGGAGGGCAGAATTCTTGATCCCACTTACTTGATTCCAAGGGCAAATCCTTGAATAACTTCGCCGGCGTTTGGGCCAATGAAATGAAGGCCGAGAATTCGCTGTTCTTGCTGGCGTAAGCACACCATCTGAAAGCAAAACGGGGAGCAGCAGGAGACTGTCAGAAGAAGACACAAGAAACTGCCTTCTGCTGAACACTGGTCCATTGAGATCAGTTCTGTCTGCACTGGCTGGCAGTGCCTTCGCCAGGGTTTCAGACATGGGACCTTCCCAGCCTGACCGGGAGACGCCAGGGGCTGAATCTGGGGCCTTCTGCAAGGTGGATGCTCTGTCACTATCAGAGGATAGCTGACTATCTAGCGCGTCATACCATCAGTCCATCTAGCGCAGTGTTGCACGCACTGACTGGACTGCATCAATAGGAGTATAGCAATTCTGGGCTGCATCAATAGGAGTATAGCATCTAGATCAAGGGAAGTAATAGTGCCACTGTATTCTGCTCTGGTCAGACCTCACCTGGAGTACTGTGTCCAGTTCTGGGCACCACAGTTCAAGAAGGACACTGACAAACTGGAACGTGTCCAGAGGAGGGCAACCAAAATGGTCAAAGGCCTGGAAACAATGCCTTATGAGGAACGGCTAAGGGAGCTGGGCATGTTTAGCCTGGAGAAGAGGAGGTTAAGGGGTGATATGATAGCCATGTTCAAGTATATAAAAGGATGTCATATAGAGGAGGGAGAAAGGTTGTTTTCTGCTGCTCCAGAGAAGCGGACACGGAGCAATGGATCCAAACTACAAGAAAGAAGATTCCACCTAAACATTAGGAAGAACTTCCTGACAGTAAGAGCTGTTCGACAGTGGAATTTGCTGCCAAGGAGTGTGGTGGAGTCTCCTTCTTTGGAGGTCTTTAAGCAGAGGCTTGACAACCATATGTCAGGAGTGCTCTGATGGTGTTTCCTGCTTGGCAGGGGGTTGGACTCGATGGCCCTTGTGGTCTATTCTAACTCTATGATTCTATGATTCTATTCTATTCTATGACTGCCAGCAACTTCTCCATGGTTTCAGGCAGGGGACACCCGCAGGCCTGCCTGGAGATGCCGGGAACTGAGACTGGGACAGGCAAGACTGTTTGTCCACCTAGCCCTATACTGTCTGCTCTGACTGGCAGTGGCTCTCCAGGGTTTTCAGGGCAGAGAAAGTCCTTTCCAACCTGGGAGCATTCTGCATGCAAATCATCTCCTCTACCACCAAACTACACCTTTTGCTTAGAATATAGAAAGCTGCCTTATTTGGAGGAGGACTATTCGTCCATCTAACTCAGTACTGCCTACACTGACAGGCAGCCGTTCTCCAGGATTTCAGACATTTTCATTTCCGTTTTGATTTGTATACGCCTTTCTACAATACGATACACAAGGCGGTGTGCAAGCTGAAGAAACAACAAAACAGACAGCAAAGGGCACAGCGCCCAATAACAATCTGATTCAATACAAAAAAAAGTCATAATAAAAAGATAACTTTAAAATAAACAACTTGCAGCAAATAAAGCAGTGGTACCTTGGTTCTCAAACACCTTGGTACTCAAATGCCTTGGTTCCCAAACACCAAAAACCCAGAAGTAAGTGTTCTGGTTTTTGAATGCTTTTCGGAAGCCAAACGTTGGCTGTTTCTGGGGCGCCTGCACTAATCAGAAGCTGCGCCTTGGTTTTCGAACATTTCGGAAGTCAAACGGACTTCTGGAACAGATTAAGTTAGGCGCTTTTGTTTTTGCTATTTATTTTGCATTTTTGTTTTTGAGGCTTTTTCAGTTAATTTGTTTTTGTGACTGTGTGGAATCCAGTTCAGCTACTGACTGATGGGTTGTGTGACTGCGAAAATGGATAAAAGCCCCCCATCCAAACAATGACTATCATCAGTGCAGGTAAGAAAAAATAATAATTTTAATTTTTATCATCTACAATACTGTTTTATAGTACAGTACATAGATTATTGCTTTTATTTTATTTTATGTATCTCGTTAGATAGCAAAATGGTCTCGTTAGATAGCAAAATTCATGTTAAATTGCTGTTTCAGAAGTTGTTTTTAAAAGTCTGGAAAGGATTAATCCGTTTTGCATTACTTTCAATGGGAAAGAGCACCTTGGTTTTGGAACGCTTTGGTTTTAGAACGGACTTCCAGAACGGTTTAAGTTTGAGGACCCAGGTACCACTGTATTCAACAATCCATTGGAATATAATAGTAAACAGTAAAATTAAATACCAGCAAATAATAATTAAGCAGTTCACACTTAACAATTGAAGTGAATAAAACAATTGAAGTCAATAAAAATAACGGCAAGTCACAATGAATAAAATACCACAAAACATACACAACCTTGGGGGGGGGCTGCCAACAGCAGAGGCAAGTGTGAGCCTGGACAAGAGCAGGGCACCCAGGCACTGGGAAGACTGGAGTGGCAGTTTTTTGGCACCCTACTGCTATGCAGAAGCGAATCACCAGGTAGGGCAGAACTGCTATGGCAGCTTCCCGGCAGATAGGTAGGTTGGCGCAGTGCAAACGGAGCAGCAAGGAGGCTGGATAGGCTCCGACAGTGCATTTGCCCCATGCCAGCCTCCCCAGGTAAGTGATTATAGCAAGGGGCTACACATACTGCAAGCCACCTTTGCCCCCACCATCTTTCCAGCAAAGCCAAGGATGCAGAGCCTCCGTGCTGGAAGTGGAGGTCAAAACGCAGGAGCGCGGACTTACTTTTATGTAACATTGAGCTGCGTCTCTTTCGGCCACGGTAAACTCCAACGGCTTATAAAACGCATGGTACACCTAACAGAAAGGAATATCGGAAGATGCAGTCAGAGCCAGCACCTGCCTTACATCATTGCATCATTTTACATTTCTGATAAGAGAAATCTCTCTCTTCTAGTGTTTCTTCTGCTAGCTGCTCCCCATCCAGTATTTCCCAGCTTCTGCCTTCTGAACTGTGCCCCTCTGCAAACCACTGTTCCAAATCTATACTGTCCTCCTGCTACTGGGAAGATTCAGGATCAGATTGGAATGGCTCCCACCATTCTTCCTCAGTGCAGCCCTCCTCAGCACGGTCCCTGACACACAGTGGCAGAGCAAGCTGGCTACTCAACACTGGTGGCCAGCAGCCATGCCTGTCAGGAGCCCAGCGTACCTCTATATGATCTGCTCCAAACCGCCCTGCAGCTTCTTCTTCCGAGAGTCCTACACAGCCATACTCCAGGGGGGTGAAGACAGTGGTAGGCACCTAGGCGATAGACGGCCATCCTGTTACTCTCTTTTTGCCCCCCTCAAATTTTTTTATTCATTTTATAACACAAATAAAAAACACAAACAGAAAAGACAAACAAAACGAACAAATTCTTGTCATATCCTTCTTTTTCTAAACATTGTTAAGTGGGCTTCCCCAAGTCCCACCTATCTGATTTTCATTTTACTTCATCGTTAGCAGTTTACATATATCATAATTTCTAACTATCTTTTTGTTTTTTTAATCACTTAAAATAACTTCACATTTTATCACTTACAAATAATACTACTTTAAAATACCCTGTCTTCTACTTCTAACCCTACAGCCTATATCCACTTCCAAAGCTATTCTAAAGTTTAAATATTAACATATTTTTTCAAATATTCCTTAAACTTCTTCCAATCTTCTTCCACCGTCTCTTCTCTCTGGTCTCGGAGTCTCCCGGTCAGTTTGGCAAGTTCCATATAGTCCACCATCTTCATCTGCCATTCTTCGATAGTTGGTAAATCTTGTTTCTTCCAATTCTTCGCGGCCATCCTGTTACTCTTAAGCCAATAGATCAAGAGCCCAATGCTTCTCCCTATCTCCCAAAACTTAGTGACACACAGTAGTAGTGTAGTGGGAAAAGCCATCTAGGCCAACCCCCAACAATGCAGGAATCTCAACATGCGGTCCCCCATCCAATTTCAAACCATACCGGACCCTGCTTAGCTTCACAAATGTGCTAGCGGTTTCATTGCTGCACCACTAGGATGGGTTGATGCAGGACCCCTTCATAATAGTGACAACCAGGGCGACTCACAGCCATGTCCCCCCCCAGATTATACAATAACTTTACAATTATACCAGAGGTATGTGATTGCTTTGCAACAAATCATTCATTTTCGAACCCCCAGGGAAGAAAAAAAACTTGTAAACTACTCACATTGTCATAATCCATGAGTTCTGCCGACTGGCCAAATAGCCTCTGAGCAACCAGCTTCCCTGCAGCAATGGCCGTAGGCGTTAGCTCGGGGCGACCCTACGACAAGACAACGGAATTAGGAGAGGTCCAAAATGTCAATGCGAGACTTGAACCCATGACCTGGACTAAGTTATGTTATCTATCTATCTATCATCTATCTATCTATCTATCTATCTATCTATCTATCTATCTATCATCTATCTATCTCTATCATCTATCATCTATCATCTATCTATCTATCTATCTATCTATCATCTATCTATCTATCTATCTATCTATCTATCTATCTATCTATCATCTATTTGTTCAGTCAGAACTCAATTCTGGCAGCTCTTAGCGGGTTCCATTGCCATTATAAGAGAACAAGGGGGGCGTTCATGGTGAGTTCTGGCACCTCTGTGTGTGTGTTTGTGTGAGTGTGTTTGTGTGTGTGTGTGTGTGTGAGAGAGAGAGAGAGAGAGAGAGAACAAACAAGACTAACAGAATATTTCCAAAAATCAACAAAAGGGTGGTGGGATACAATTGAGAATGGTCAGGTATAAGGTAAGGAGACCAAAGATATAAAGAAAAACATTGGAAGAAATCTGTACAAAAGAGGCAATACGGCAACACCTCAAGATAAGTCATAAACAGCAGATCAAAAACTCATATAATCTGTTCGCCTTGTTTGTTATACATTTAATGATAATTAAAAAAAACGGAAGCAAGTCCCAAGTTGCAGTTTGGGATTAATCCCAAGGTTTAGGCAAATGTACGTGTTATCTCTTTTTCCGAACTAACGTTTTGGCTTTCAAGATCGCCTGTCAATGTGATTTGTCAACGTTGCCGTTTCCCTCTCCCCCCGCCCCCCCCGCAAACCGCCTGAAATGCAGCTGCCAATCATTTCTGTGGCAGGAAATACAGATGTTATTTTGGCGTTCCAGAGATCAGAGAAAGAGATAAAACCTGGAGGGTGGGGGAGGAAAGCCTCTGGCATACATTCCTTTAAAAAAAGCACGAGGAACACCCAAGCTAATTACTAAAACATCCCTGCAGACATAAGCGCAGGGTATTTTTCCCCCCTCTGTGCGTATGAAAAAACAATGGCTTAAGACTTCCCTGAGTAAACAAGTCGACACAAACGCTCTTTTTGCACCCATGTGTGGGACTATGTTAGATTATAGGCAATAAAAATTCTAGGACTCGTAAAGACTTTCTGGGAAATGGTATATAATGAGTTAAAGAAGGTGTTTAAAAAATTGTTGTTTAGTCCTGTCCAACTCTTTGTGACCCCAGGGACCAGAGCACGCCAGGCACTCCTGTCTTCCACTGCCTCCCGCAGTTTGGTCAAACTCATGCTGGTAGCTTCGAGAACACTGTCCAACCATCTCATCCTCTGTCTTCCCCTTCTCCTTGTGCCCTCCATCTTTCCCAACATCAGGGTCTTTTCCAGGGAGCCTTCTCTTCTCATGAGGTGGCCAAAGTATTGGAGCCTCAGCTTCAGGATCTGTCCTTCCAGTGAGCACTCAGGGCTGATTTCCTTCAGAATGGAGAGGTTTGATCTTCTTGCAGTCCACGGGACTCTCAAGAGTCTCCTCCAGCACCAGAATTCAAAAGCATCAATTCTTCGGCGATCAGCCTTCTTTATGGTCCAGCTCTCACTTCCATACATCACTACTGGGAAAACCATAGCTTTAACTATACAGACCTTTGTTGGCAAGGTGATGTCTCTACTTTTTAAGATGCTGGTGTTTAAAAATACTTTTGTTAAAAAACCGGAAGCCTTTCTCTTGGTTATAGTGGGTGAAGAGATATCAAAGGAAGAAAAAAGCCTGTTTATGTATGCAACAACTGTGGCAAGAATTATTTTAGCCCAAAAATGGAAACAACAAGAAGTACCAACGAAAGAAGAGTGGCAGATGCAGATGATGGACTTTTCAGAACTAGCGAAGCTGACAGGAAAAATCCTAAACCAGCAAGATCAAGTATTCCAAAAAGACTGGAGTAAATTCATACGATATCTGAAAGATCATTGTAAGCAATTAACACCACTAGCAGGGATGTAATTGTAAGCAATTAAAGCCACTAGCAGGGACGCGGGTGGCGCTGTGGGTAAAACCTCAGCGCCTAGGACTTGCCGACTGCATGGTCGGCGGTTCGAATCCCCCTGGCGGGGTGCGCTCCCGTCGTTCGGTCCCAGCGCCTGCCAACCTAGCAGTTCGAAAGCACCCCCGGGTGCAAGTAGATAAATAGGGACCGCTTACCAGCGGGAAGGTAAACGGCGTTCCGTGTGCTGCGCTGGCTCACCAGATGCAGCTTGTTACGCTGGCCACGTGACCCGGAAGTGTCTGCGGACAGCGCTGGCTTCCGGCCTCTAGAGTAAGATGAGCGCACAACCCTAGAGTCTGGCAAGACTGGCCCGTACGGGCAGGGGTACCTTTACCTTTACCTTTAGCAGGGATGTCTGAAGACTTGTAATGAGAAATTTTCTCTCTTTCTATATTTATTTAAGTTTTCGAGATATTCTGTAATGAGTGTAATTAGAATTGGAAAACGTATAAATTGCTTTGATATAAAAGGTGAATTTTGAAAGCCATGAGGCGGGAGGGAAGGAAGTTGATAGGCTCTAAGAGCCAAGGCGGTATAGTGGATAAAGATGATGTGAATGCATAATATTAAATGGGAAAGAAATAAAAATTATATTAAAAAATAAAATAAAGAATAAAATAAAATAAATAAAAATTATAAGTATCTAGGAATGGTGGCACAGGCCTCAGAAACCAACAAACCACACATAAATTCCATTAGGAGCTCAGCGGAAAATAAATAAAAATTTGAGGACCCAAAGCAATGAATTCAAGTTACAAGAATGGTGATTCCAACTAAACATCAAGAATAACGTTTCTGACAGAAAGAGCTGTTTGACAGTGGAACAGACCCCCCTGATAGCTGGTGGACCCTCCTTCTATGGAGGTTTTTAAGCAGACGTTGGCTGGCCATCCATATCAAGCTGAGATTCCTGCATTGGACTGGAGGACCCCCAGGGTCCCAATTCTACAATTCTAATAATAATAATAATTTGTTATTTGTACCCTGCCCATCTGGCTGGGTTTCCCCAGCCACTCTGGGCGGCTTCCAACAAAGATTAAAAATGCATTAAAATGTCACACATTAAAAACTTCCCTGAACAGGGCTACCTTCCGATGTCTTCTAAATGTCATATAGTTGTTTATTTATTTGACATCTGATGGGAGGGCGTTCCACAGGGCGGGCGCCACCACCAAGAAGGCCCTCTGCCTGCCTACCTCCTGGGAATAACAGATTTGGATATTCCACAAAAGAGGAAGGGTATCTTTTTATATGCGACGGCGGCAGCAAGAGTTTTGATCGCAACAAAATGGAAGAGTAATGAAATCCCCTCTATACAAGATTGGATCCAAAAGCTGACAGAATATGCCGAATTAGATGGTCTATCAGAAAAAATAAAGAATAAATCAAAACAGGAATTTGTTTCAAAATGGGAGGTTTTCAAAGAATATCTGAAAAATGAATATAGTAGTTTAAATTCTGTTGCAGCATTCGAGGAACTTCAGTAATAGTTGCAAGGTAGATATAAGAAATTAGATTTATTGAGAATAAGTTTAATTATGATAAAAGTGTGCATTGCCAGTAACTACCGTATTTTTCGCCCTATAGGACGCACTTTTCCCCCTCCAAAAATGAAGGGGAAATGTGTGTGCGTCCTATGGGGCGAATGCAGGCTTTCGCTGAAGCCTGGAGAGCGAGAGGCGTCGGTGCGCACGACACCTCTCGCTATCCAGGCTCCAGGAAGCTATCCGCAAGCCTGTAGCGCCCAGGCAGCCTGCAGCGCGGAGCATGCCCTCAAGTTCTAGTGTATATTAGAGATGGAGGGGAAACCTTCTCTGCCCCAAAACATTTTGCCTCTCTTGCAAGAATGGTTAGAAGTTGTGAGTTGCTGCCAGCAAGACAGCATGAGGCATTTCTTTCAGAGAGAGAGAGAGCAAGTAAGAAATGTTTTTGCAAAACCCGTGTGAACTTAATTGTCAATCAGTTTGATTTCGCAGTCAAATGACTAACACCTTCAGCCTTTTTTTTTTTAAAAAAAAGCTGTACTCCCTTTTTTTTTTGCCTTCCGCGGGCAGCAAAACCTATTTATTTCAGAAGCAGAATTGATATAGGAGAGATAACAAAGCCTTCTTGCCAGCTGTTGCCACATAATGCTTTTCACCTGATAAGCATCAGTAATAATCTCTAATGCAGAGGTGATCTGTGTGGAGGAAATTACTGTTCTGTGTTGCTGGCGTAAACACTCCAAATGAAAATGAAAAGCGGGGCTTGAACACGCTGATATAGGCTTGACGACAAATGGGCAGCAGTTATTAATCAAGAACAAAGTAAGTTTTCCTGTCATTGTCAAGGAGTTTACGTAGACGTCTACCTCTGTTATGTCTCCAATTGCATAAATGTGAGGAACAGAAGTGGTTTCTCTTGCATCAACAATGATTTTCCCCGTCGCGGGATTTGTTTTCACTCCAGCCATCTCCAAGTTGAGAGTTTGGGTGTCAGGGGCTCGGCCTGGGAAAGAAAGAGTAAGAGAGTGCATACAGGTTTGTTTGCTTTTTAGAAAACAATAAAAATTAACAGAAACATTTAAAAAAGATTTTAGCAGTTCTAATTCTTGCAAAAAAAACCAACAAAACCCAACAATGTAAGAACATAGGAAGAGCCTTCTAGATCAGGCCAGTGGCCCATTTAGTCCAGAATCCTCGGTCCAGTATACCTGAAGGAGCGTCTCCACCCCTATCGTTCAGCCTGGACACTGAGGTCCAGCGCCGAGGGCCTTCTGGCGGTTCCCTCATTGCGAGAAGCCAAGTTACAGGGAACCAGGCAGAGGGCCTTTTTGGTAGTGGCGCCCACCCTGTGTAACGCCCTCCCACCAGATGTCAAAGAGAAAAATAACTACCAAACTTTTAGAAGACATCTGAAGGCAGCCCTGTTTAGGGAAGCTTTTAATGTTTAATAGGTTATTGTATTTTAGTGTTTTGTTGGAAGCCACCCAGAGTGGCTGGGGAGGCCCAGCCAGATGGGCGGGGTATAAATAATAAATTATTATTATTATTATTATTATTATTATTATTATTATTATTATTTCAGTTATATGCCCGTGTGAAACCTGTAAGCAGGACCTTAGTGCAATTGTACTCTCCCCTCCTGTGGTTCCCATCGACTGGTACTCAGAAGCAGGGACGCGGGTGGCACTGCGGTCTAAACCACTAAGCCTCTTGGGCTTGCCGATCGGAAGGATGGCAGTTCGAATCCCCACGATGGAGTGAGCTCCCGTTGCTCTCTCCCAACTCCTGCCAACCTAGCAGTTCAAAAGCACACCAGTGCAAGTAGATAAATAGGTACCGGAGTTTTCAAGACTCCATTGGGATCCTGCACACCCCTGCAGAGGATGCCTTGATCAACCGTTGCCAACTTACGAATCAACTCCCCCTGCCCACAGACAAATGTCGCCTTCTGCAGAAAGCTCTCCAGATTGTTTTGAGAAAGGTCCGTGCAGTTTTGGGGCAGACGCAGACCAATTTAGCCAGCTCATTAATGCGAAAAGCAAAGGCCTTGACTGATTTCTACAAGGACGAATCCCAGCTGTTCATTTTCCTCCAGCTTTGCGGATTCAATCCTTCCCAAGGGAACGTGCTGGGGGTAGGGTGGGGGGAACAGCTTGGAATTTGCCAGCCGGTTCTCTTGTCGGGGATTTTTAATGAGGTCCAAACATCTCCTTGGACTCAAGAGGCTTTTCCTCTTATTATGTGACAGAGATTCACCCCCCCCAAACCAGGCCATTGTTAACCTGGAAACCTCTTAAGTTACAGGTGGACAGATTTTGGCTGAACCTTAAGGAGGAACTGCCTTGAACCCTAAACTAAGATCCATTGGTATTTTGGTTCTATGGGCCTATCCAGATGTTCTTTTTGTTGTGCATTGATTATTATTTGGAGGGGGTAGGGTTATTATGACCTCACTTTAAATACTGTTTGTGCCTGCAAAATTCTAGGGGAAAATTTTATGTCTAATCTATGCATTTCTGATAGCTTCCTGGTGAAATCCTGTAAAAAAATTATATTGCCTCATTTTATTTTTTTAAACAGAGGTTGGATGGCCATCTGTCAGTGATTCTTTAGCTGTGATTCCCATACTTCCAGGAATTGGAAATGTTGGCCCTTAGGGTTCCTTCCAACCTTATGATTCTGTGTTCCAGGTTTCTTTGTTTCGCCCCACTTTTGGCATTATATGTGCAAGTCTCGGTATTCATACACAAGGCATTCTCGGGAAATAGTTTGCCAGTGTTCACAAAATGAGCCAACCATTTCCATTGATTCCTATGGGGAAATTTCTAATGCGTTCCCAACTGCAGAATTTTGACCTCCAAAATGACAACAACAAAAAACCAGAAAAACCTTCTGAAACCTTACAAAAGGCATACAAGAAAGGAAAAAATGCTATCTTATTTGTCCAACCCCCTCCGTCCTTCCCACCATGGTTTCTGGTGAAATGTCTGTCAAAAACCAGCAAAACACAAAAAAGTAAGGTTTGTTTAAGGCTGCTTGTTTGTCTACAGTACTACAAGCAGGTCCAGCTGTTTGGATATCTGAATCTGCAGTGTGTGTGTGTGTGTAGCAAGATTTGGGTCCTAATTCCTCATGTTTGGATGTGAATTTTTGTATTTGGATAGCAGGACCCACATATATAGTGCAAGAGCGTTCCTCCAGGCGGCAATAGTGCGACCAAAGAGCAAACAGTGTAACAGAACAATGCATGCACAGTCCGGTATAAATCCACCACAGTTGTACTATTATTGCGTCAACCAACTGTCCACAGTTGCATCATGTGTTTAGAGCGCTGTGATACCGCTTTAAACAGTCATGGCTTTCCCAAAAGAATTCCGGGAGCTATGGTCTGTCAATGACAAACCTAGACAGCATCTTAAAAAGCACCTTGCCGACAAAGGTCCTAATATTTAAAGCTATGGTTTTCCCAGTAGTGATGTATGGAAGTGAGAGCTGGACCATGAAGAAGGCTGATCGCCAAAGAATTGATGCTTTTGAATTATGGTGCTGGAGGAGACTCTTGAGAGTCCCATGGACTGCAAGAAGATCAAACCTATCCATTCTTAAGGAAATCAGCCCTGAGTGCTCACTGGAAGGACAGATCGTGAAGCTGAGACACCATTACTTTGGCCACCTCATGAGAAGAGAAGACTCCCTGGAAAAGACCCTGATGCTGGGAAAGATTGAGGGCACAAGGAGAAGGGGACAACAGAGGACGAGATGGTTGGACAGTGTTCTCAAAGCTAGTAACATGAGTTTGACCAAAGTGCGGGAGGCAGTGGAAGACAGGAGTGCCTGGGGTCACAAAGAGTTGGACACGACTAAAGAACAACAAAACGGTCTGTCAAGGATGCTGAGAGTTGTTCACCTCACAGAGCTACAGTTCCCAGAATGGTCTAACAGCCAACCTCTCTTCACAGGGAACTCTGGGAATCATAGCTGTGTGAGGAGCAGCCTCCCATCTACAATTTGGCCCTGTTTGCTGAGGGACTGGTGGGAACTGTAGTTCAGAAGCATCTGGGGGGACCAGCCCTGGTCTAGGGTCTCGAATGGCGTAGGCCACACTGGACCTGGTGTCAGATCAACCCTCTTGACTTTTGTCAGGCAGATTCCTGCATTCCTAAGTACCCTTACCACTTGGTGCGTTCAGTGTGCCACCTTCACCTCCTGCTCTCAAGGGTCTAAGCATCTGAAGAAAGCCAGCATTAGGCTCTGAACGCCAGTGTCTGGAATTGCAAGGAGGAAAAGCGCGGCTGTTGCGCTCAGGTCTTGTCTTCCCATTGGGGCATCTGGTAGGCCACTATTGGACTTTTAGAAGACATCTGACTTTTTAGAAGAAATCTGAAGGCAGCCCTGTTTAGGGAAGCTTTTAATATTTGATGAATTATTGTATTTTAATATTTTGCTGGAAGCCGCCCAGAGTGGCTGAGGAAACCCAGGCAGATAGTTGGGGTATAAATAAAAAAAAGGCAAAAGGGACCCCTGACCATTAGGTCCAGTCGTGGCCGACTCTGGGGTTGCGGCGCTCATCTCGCTTTATTGGCCAAGGGAGCCGACATACAGCTTCCAGGTCATGTGGCCAGCATGACTAAGCCGCTTATGGCGAACCAGAGCAGCACACGGAAACGCTGTTTACCTTCCCACTGGAGCAGTACCTATTTATCTACTTGCACTTTGACGTGCTTTTGAACTGCTAGGTTGGCAGGAGCAGGGACCGAGCAACGGGACCTTACCCCGTCACAGGGATTCAAACAGCTGACCTTCTGATCAGCATGTCCTAGGCTCTGTAGTTTAACCCACAGCACCACCCGTGTCCCTAAAGGAAAAGGTATTATTATTATTATTATTATTATTATTATTATTATTATTATTATTAGAAAAGGGTCCTGGGCTACAGGGGCCAATGGCCAGATCCAGTAGGGCCTCTTTTTACACCAGTGTTTCCCAAACTTGGGTCTCCAGCTGTTTTTGGACTACAACTCCCATCATCCCTAGCTAGCAGAGCCAGCAGTCAGGGATGATGTGAATGGTAGTCTAGAAACAGCTGGAGATTAAGAACACCTTGGGGGGGCTTCAAAATTGGAAGTGGAGCTAGCTAAGCCTCTAGACGCAACTAAAGCATTTTCCCAAACCAAAATACTTTCGCCCATTTGATCTTAATGGAGGGTATTGAATAGATTCTTCGGCTTGGAAACCAGAGCTGGGCATGGCTTCCAGCCAATAAAATTTCAACGTTAAGTTTTAACATTTTCGTCGCTGCTTTTAGGATTCCGCATGGGACACACGTGGGAAAGAGGATGAGGTTTCGCTTTGGGTCGGCCAAATGCATTTCACTTTCTTCCTTTTCGTTCTTAATGCCGAGCTATTCAGATGTCGGGAGATTGGAACCGAGAGAAATTAAACATTGCCCTGCAGATTTGATCATCTCAGCTGTTGTTTTGGTTACAGCATTAAAAAAAAAATCAGTCTGTTTTAGGGAAGGGGGAGAGATTCAGTTCAGTTCCCCTTTAAATGCACATTTATCTAATCTGCACTTTCTGTAACAATTTGCACATCAGAAGACAGCGATCCTTCGAAATTTGCACTTCTCTGAATTTTGCAATGCTACCCTCCCTTCGGCTAACCTGTACAAATACCGAAACATTAAGAGGAAAGTGTGCATGGAAGTGGGTATATATTTGTGAAAGTAGCATGCACAAATGCATTATGTGGAGAAACTGTTATGCAAACAAAAATAAAAAATGTGAATTTGGAAAAATCGGATACAAAAATGTGCAAAGCAGGAGAAATTCATACTAAAATGCTGGTGAATTTTCATGAGGACTTTAAAAAAAATGCAGACTGATGTGGAAAACTCAACTCAAGATTGGAAAAATGAGAAACTGAGAGAAACCTAAACTGACTGTACAGTGGTACCTCGGGTTACATACGCTTCAGGTTATAGACTCCGCTAACCCAGAAATAGTACCTCAGGTTAAGAACTTTGCTTCAGGATGAGAACAGAAATCGTGCTCCGGCGGCGCAGCAGCAGTAGGAGGCCCCATTAGCTAAAGTGGTGCTTCAGGTTAAGAACAGTTTCAGGTTAAGAACGGACCTCCGGAACGAATTAAGTACTTAACCCAAAGTACCACTGTATCTCCCACCCCTAGTTGTGGTTGGAAGGTGCTGCATTAAAATGAAAGCTTTAATTTTCCCACTTCCCGGGTCTGACAGAAAATGGTGGAAATCAAAATGGGTAGATTCGCCCCTTCCTAATGTCTCGGCAGGTTGTTGGGATGAGAAATTTGTGTGGCTGTTTCTCTCTCTCTCTCCTTCTCCGCCCTCCCACTTCTCTCTGTTTGTTTTTCTCTCTCTCTTAAAAGTTAGCATATTGCGTGCTAACTTGTTCCTCTAAGCTCTGCCTGAGCCGGAAAACGGGGAAACTGGAAAAGCCCCCATTAAGCTGCCGGCTTGCAGGCCTCCCCAGACGTTTTATTCTCGGCGCACAAAAGAAATAGGAGGAAGTTGTTTCACATCCGAGCCCGAGATAAGGTCTCGGTTGTGTTTTCTTTAAAAGTATTGTCGTTGTTATTATTTTTGGTGCCTGATAGCATCGGAGCTCAGGGACCAGAGGGCCAAGAGAGGGACGGCAGGGATCCGGCGTCCCACAGGGAAGGCTGAAGGAAGGCAGACAGATAGCTCGAGTGCCGACAGCTCCACTCGCCGATCCCAGAGGAAGTGTCAGTTTCGCCAGCTGAAATGAATCTGCTGGAGCCGCCCCAACCTCCCCGTCTCAGAGCCGTTCAGATTCAGCATTGTTTGGATTGGAAGAGCGGGGAGGACCCTGGCTTTCAAGGCAGGCGGATAATACAGTGAATCATATGTTTATTTATAATCAGATCTCCAATGCAGGGGCCGGGCTTCCCTTTTGTTTAATAATTTCCCTCCCTCCACATCAAAGGCCCTTAAGTGTTTTCCTCCGCTCAGCCCTTGTTTTCGGAACGCAAACACATTTCCCATCCGGGCTTCGGAGGAGACTCTCAAGTTCACATCAAACGTTGGAACGGTGTTCCCTCTCCCAGCGAAGAGAGGGAGGGAGAGCATGCTTTTATTCTGTTTTCCCAATATAAGCCTCTTAAAAGGCTTAAAAATAAAATGAAAAAGTCAGATGGAAAATTTCTGATCTAGGTTTCTGTTTCTGATCTTGACCCCACCCTGGCCTGGCGTGACGATCTTGTGACTGAGCTGACCGTTGCCTGGAATGGTTCCTCTTCCTCACCTTGCAAGGTTAACTTGGGGGTCATAAAAAGAGGTTGCTGTATCAGGCCATTGGCTCATCTGCTCCCGCATCCAGCATTCTTAAAGGGAAAGGTAATAATAATAATAATAATAATAATAATAATAATAATAATAATAATAATAATAATAATTTATTATTTATACCTCGCCCATCTGGCTGGGCTTCCCCAGCCACTCTGGGCGGCTTCCAACAAAATATTAAAATTCAGTAATCCATCAAATGTTAAAAACTTCCCTAAACAGGGCTGCCTTCAGATGTCTTCTAAAAGTCTGGTAGTTAATGCCCGATGGAATTAATCTGCAGAACTCACTCTTTCAGGAGGCAGTGATTGCCTCCAAGTTTAGATGGCTTTGGAAGAGGATTGGGTAAATTCATGGCAAAGAGGAATATTGATGACTGCTAGCCAAGACGGCTATGCCCTGTCTTCGCGGTTGGAGGCAGCAATGCGTCTTATTAAAAAAGGTCAAGGACCCCTGGAAGGTTAAGTCCAGCCAAAGGCGACTATGGGGTTGCGGCGCTTATCTCGCTTTCAGGCCAAGGGAGCCAGCATTTGTCCACAGGCAGCTTTCCGGGTCATGTGGCCTGCATGACTTAACCACTTCTGGCGCAACTGGACACCATGACGGAAGCCAGAGCGCATGGAAATGCCGTTTACCTTCCTGCCACAGCGGTACATATTTATCTACTTGCACTGGTGTGCTTTCGAACTGCTAGGTTGGCAGGAGCTGGGACAGAGAAATGGGAGCTCACTCCATCGCGCGGATTCGAACCGCAGACCTTCTGATAGGCAAGTCGAAAAGGCTCAGTGGTTTAGACCACAGCGCCACCCGCATCTTGCTTTAATAAGCCATGATATCAACAAACCCGGAAGCCGAAGTGCGGCGATATGGAAATGCAAAAGAAAATCAGGACGGAAATTGCCGCCTCCTTACACCCCAACCTATGTAACCCCATAGGAACTCAATGCACCTCTTGCCGGCAACCTAGGTGTTGTTTTTCCATAGGCACAGGACCACGTAGGCAGCCTTGGCTCCTGTCCCTGTGGCTCTTGGGAGCTCCACCTTTTCCAAGCAAGTATGCTAAACATCCCGACAATCGCGCTCCGTGGCCACTTTCCCTTCCGCAGCGGCAGTTCCAAACACGGCTGAACGTTACGCCAAGTACACCTGGAGTCGTCTTCGACATATGGCTCCTAAATCAAGCATTGGGCTTGGCGCCATTCCAGGCGTTTGAGGCAAATCAGATAAGCCGCTCGGGGAAGAGCGCAGAGGGGAAACACCCTCAGATATGCAGAACGAACCTTTCCTTAACTTTTCTTGATATTCATCACAACTGTCAGGCGACACCCCTTGACAAGGCAGATGGAAAGATACCTTTCGATCTGGCTTTGTTATTTTCCCCTCCCCGGAATCTCCTCCCCACTCTCACCTACAAACAAGGAGCAATAGCTCAGCTGGTTAAGAGCATGGTGCTGGGAATGCCAGGAGTGGCAAATCTGATCCCCTTATGGGAAAGTTGCATATTCCTGCATTGCGACTGCGCATGCGCAAAGCGTGATTTAGCGCTTCTGTGCATGCGCGTCCGCTGAAACCCGGAAGTAACCCATTCCGGTACTTCCGGGTTTCGGCGGGTCCGTAACCCGAAAAAACACAACCTGAAGCGTCTGTAAGGTATGACTGTATATGAATGTGCCAACCAAAACAACAAATCTCCCCATAAGCATAGCATAGTAAGCGCCATTAGACAGTGGAACAGACTCCCACAAGAAATGGCGGACTCTCCTTCCTTGGATGCTTTTAAGCAGCAGAGGTTGGATGGACATCTGTCGTGTGTGATCAAGCTGAGATTCCTGCATTGCAGAGGGTTGGACTAGATGACCCTTGGGGTCCCTTCCGACTCTACAATTCTATGATTTTGTCTCAGGAAAAAGGCAAGTCTGCAATAGTTCTCCCTGACATCTACGCAGGAAGATTTATTTGTAATAGTGCATATAGTCATGTAAACAAACACCTGCAGTTTGAAGAGCTACAAGTCAGAAACAAGTTGATACCTATGGTAAGAACTAGGCCTTGCCACCAGATAAAGTAAACAGTAATGCTTGGAACAACCTCTTTGCCTAGTCAGCTGGAGCGAGTGCAAATCACAGCCAGGGAATCGAGCAAACAGCCTAATTAGTTGATAGATTTTAGGTAACAGAAGAGAGGTAGATGGGCAGGTGAGTGAAGATGTGGTAACACTGGTGGACTTTGTGACAAGGCCCCTCACAGAGACAGTTTTCAGAGAAAGAATGTAATTGTGCAAGAAGGTACCATCCAGGCAACACAATTATTTCATAGCTGACACGTTTTAAGCCACTACAGCAAGAGAAAAGCCCTTGTGGAGACTTGCATATAGGCGTGTTTTGCACACATAAGTCAATCCATGGTTGTGTGCAAAACAGGCCTAGGGCTGGGCTGGATGAATCCCTAGCCGGAATTAAGTTTGCCAGAAGAAATATCAACAACCTCAGATATACAGATGACACAACCTTGATGGCAGAAAGTGAGGAGGAATTAAACAACCTCTTAATGAGGGTGAAAGAGGAGAGTGCAAAATATGGTCTGAAGCTCAACATCAAAAAAACTAAGATCATGGCCACTGGTCCCATCACCTCCTGGCAAATAGAAGGGGAAGAAATGGAGGCAGTGAGAGATTTTACTTTCTTGCGCTCCATGATCACTGCAGATGGTGACAGCAGCCATGAAATTCAACGATGTCTGCTTCTTGGGAGAAAAGCGATGACAAACCTAGAAGCATCTTAAAAAGCAGAGACATCACCTTGCCAACAAAGGTCCGTATAGTTCAAGCTATGGTTTTCCCAGTACTGATGTATGGAAGTGAGAGCTGGACCATAAAGAAGGCTGATCGCCAAAGAATTGATGCTTTTGAATTCTGGTGCTGGAGGAGACTCTTGAGAGTCCCATGGAGTGCAAGAAGATCAAACCTATCCATTCTGAAGGATCCCATGCGCTTTCCTTCCCACAACATTTCCTGTGCTGCATTTTTTTAAAAAAACACCACGAGAGGGAACAAAAGGAAAAGGAGAGCCAGAGGTATTTCAAAACACCGTTTCTTTTTACCTACTGCCCACATCACCGTGTCAAATTCGTCTGACTTTTCTTTGCCAGAATCGAGGTATTTCCACGTCACGCGCAGCCGGCCGTTCTCCCCCTTCTTCACTTTCGTTGGGCTACATTTCTTCAGGAATCTCGTCCCGTGGCCTTCCATGTGATCTGCCACAAGAGTAGCCATTTGCTATAAAGGTGATGATGAAAAAGAACAAGCAAACTGCATTTTTTATTTTTACTTTTATATATCATCTACTTACTACAAGGCATGTGGCCTGAAGGACGTTACCAGAAGGCAATGTGGTCCTCAGTCGGAAAAGGGGTTTCCATTCCTGTGGTATATAATAAGCAACTACCGCCTGACAACAGAAATTAATAGTGCTATTGGCTGGCAGTGGGAATGGCTAAATCTATTGATTTTGGTTTCTCTCAGTTTCTCAATTCCCCAATCTTAAATTTAGTTATCAGTTTGCTTTTTCTAAAGCCCTCATGAAAATTCATCGGCATATTATTATTATTATTATTAAAATTTGTATACCACCCTTAATCTGAAGATCACAGGGCGGTTCACAAAATAAAGATACAAAACAAGAACACAAAATACACAGTACAAACAAGAACAAAAGTAACAACAAACCAATAAACCCCTTCCCATGAGCATATTTAAAGAGACATAGAATGTTAATCAGCCAAAGGCCTGGTGAAAAAGAAACATTTTCGGCTAGTGCCTAAAGATATACAACAAAGACACCAGGCGAGTTTTCCTGGGGGAAAGCATTCCACAAATGCGATTCCAGTGCAATTTTCTCCCAATATACATTTTCGCAAAGCAATTTCTCCCGACGTAGTGCATTTTTGCACGTTACCTTCATAAACATAAGCATATCTATGCACAAGTTATCCCAGTATAATGCGCACATTGCTTAGCTAGAGAAGTGCATTGCAAAATTCAGAGAAGTGTGAATTTCAAAAGATGGAAGCGTTTCGATTCTCGAATTGTTTTGGAGTGTGAGAATCTGGAAGCTTCACTTTAAAATAGGAAGTGAGTTGAGTTTGTCCCCAAAACCCAGTGTAGACGAGGGATTAGCAGAAAGCTGGTTCCCGGTGCCCAAACTGTGCCTGGGCACCCGAAGGAACCAGGTTGTTTGAACCCCGTACTTCATACCTAGCCCCGAGAACACAAAGGGTTTTACCCCCTCCCCACGGCACCTGTCAGATGCCTCGTCAATATAGACGACTCGTTAAGGTATCCTGGAGGGCTCGTTTTACAAATGGAAAAGATGCCTTTGCAGAAGACATCTCCAAATGTTTGAACCAATGCCATGCTGCTGTCAGGCTCTAACCGCTCCTACTGACAACTTTGTTCAAAAAAGATGCCACAGCTGTTGATGGCGATAAGTCAAAACTGTCATCCGTCAAAGGATGAGTCTGGTAGTCGTGTAAGGGAAATATCACAAAACGCCCACACAGGAGAATTTAAGTGCTGGTGTTTGGCTTTTTTAAAATAAATTTAAAAAAATACATTTTACACTCATGCTCTCAGTTGCAACTGGCCAAAAAAAAGTGGGGGGCAAGATGTTTGTTCTCTTCTGAAACTTGACACTCCTGTGTTTCCCTTTCAGCCTGTGCCAACTTGAGCCCCCACGCCTATTTCGTCTCAGAAGGGACCCGACCCTCACCTTGAGAAAGATTGCTGCCTAAGGATGGTGATCTGTCCGGAATGACAGGGTTGGGCTTGATGAACCGTGAACAGGGACATGGGCGGCGCTGTGGTCTAAACCACAGAGCCTCTTGGGCTTGCCGATTGGAAGGTCAGAGGTTTGAATCCCCGCAACGCTCCTGTTGCTCGATCCCAGCTCCTGCCCCCCTAGCAATTTGAAAGCACACCAGTGCAAGTAGATAAATAGGTACCGCTGCGGCGGGAAGGTAAACGGCATTTCCGTGCGCTCTGGTTTCCGTCACGGTTTTCCGTTGCGCCAGAAGCAGTTTAATCATGCTGGCCACATGACCTGGAAAGCTGTCTGTGGACAAACGCTGGTTCCCTTGGCCTGAAAGCGAGATGAGCGCCGGACTTAACCGTCCAGGGGTCCTTGACCTTTTTACCTTTACCTGATGAACTGTGAGCAGGAGACCTCTTCTGATATTTGACAACCAAGCCCCACACCGTGTAGACTTGGGCAGAAAGTAGTGAAGGAGCTTGGGAACCACCTGCCAGTAAAACCGAGAAGCCAGAGTAGGGCGCCCAAAAAACAGCAAACAACTTACCTGGTCAAATCCTCGGAGCGGGATGCTCCTCATCATAACTGTTGCGTTCAGTCCGAGGCCAGCGAGAAAACCAGCACATTCGAGGGAAACATCTGGAGGGTTGCGGCTCAAGGAAAACAGCTCAAGTATTTTGAGAGGGCAAATGGACAAGAACTGCAACAGCAAGACGTAAGGCAGCCATGTTTTACCTTTTGGTCCAACCCAGTGCGATGCTTCTTAAGCATCTATCATCCAGCTGGTTGTTGGGGGGTCTGAGAACCGCAGGGCAAAGCACCAAGCACAGGGCTGGTGAAACTTCTTTCTACGAAGCAGAGGTCGCCATGGTGTATGTACCCATAATAATAATTTTATTATTTACACCTTGCCCATCTGGCTGGGTTTCCCCAGACACTCTGGGCAGCTTCCAACACATATAAAAACATATTAAAACATCAAACATTAAAAACTTCCCTAAACAGGGCTGCCTTCAGATGTCTTCTAAAAGTCTGATAGTTGTTTTTCTCTTTGACATCTGGTGGGAGGACATTCCACAGGGAGGATGCCACCGCCAAGAAGGCCCTCTGACTGGTTCCCTGAAACTTCTTGCAGTGAGGGAACCGCCAGAAGGCCCTCGGCGCTGGACCTCAGCGTCCGGGCAGAACGATGGGGGTGGAGATGCTTCTTCAGGTATACTGGGCCAAGGCCGTTTAGGGCTTTAAAAGTCAGCACCAACACTTTGAATTGTGCTTGAAAACATATTGGAAGCCAGTTTAGATCCTTTAGGACCAGGGTTATATGGTCCCAGTGTCCACTCCCAGTCACTAGTCTCAGTTGCACAGTTAACTCATCAGGGTTAAACTCACCCCCCGACAGCCGATGGGCACTGGGGCTATGAAAGTAATGAACATTAACTTTCAGGGTCCCTAATCCTGGAGGAGTCCCAGAAAAAACTTTAGCCCACATGGCTTTAAAATGTTGGGTCTAGTAGACCCGATTTGTTGTCTACAGTTCAACAACCCCAGAGTTTGAGAGTCAGTAGCACAAATGTTGTAAAGGTGTGGTGATCTGCCGTGGAACAAACTCAATGAATAAGATAAAAGTGGTTAACCAGACCATGGTTGCTGGCTGCTAAAGGCCCCCCGTGACAATTAAACCATGGATTTATTTTAACCATGGATTTCAACACTGGAGGCTATTGAACCTTCACAGGAAATGTAAATCGGTCACGTGATATAATAAATCGTTACAGCGTTTACAAAAGATACAGCTGGCTCCAACAACCAACCTGTTCAATGCGAAGAAGGGGAAGAAAAGAGAAGAGGAATGAGATGGGGAACATTGCTGTAAACAAAACAAATTATTTTCTGGAGCACAGTGCAGCACGATAACAGGTAAATTGCGCAGAAAGACGTGGTCCTTGACATGTGTCAGGTAGACAGGGATAGAGAAAAAACAGCTTTTCAAAAACAAAACATGCACAGAGCTTAACAACTGGAGTGCCCGTTTTGAAAAGTTAAAACAGCTAGAAATTACATGACGCTCCCAAGGCACCTCCAGTGATGGAAAAACGTTTAGGCTGCAAACCCAAAAAAGCATTTTGTGGGAAGTAAGCTGCAACACAGTGGGACTGGCTTCTAAGTAAATATGCACAGAATTGCACGGCCAGGCTGCAATCCTAAGCACGCCCTACAGCCCCTTCAGACTGGCAAAAAAAATTGTTGTTGTATTTTGCAATAGGCCATCAACAGCACTGACGTTCTATGTGAGAAAGTGATTCAGACGAGATTTCTCAGCAATGTGGGTTCAAAAGAAATCCCAGAAAGCAAACGCCCAGGTGAGCATTGGGAGGATCCACTTCCTTCTGTGTGAGACAAGGGTTAAGATCTACCTCTACCTTAACCCTTGTGAAGATGTCACCCGACTGGGCTGGATTAAGGTATGATGAGGCCCTGAGCTATTGAAGGTAATGGGGCCCTTTCTATGTCCAGCTGTCCTTTGTCAACAACAAGTTGCCGCTGTTTTTTGTGTTGAATATATGCTATATGGTAATTTATGGACCTAACAGGTATCTAAAGCCATTTGCACATAGCAAAATATGTATTTTATCAAAGTAATTGTTGAAAAGTCCATGCAGAATGCAAAGTCTATGCAGAATGTAGGCACCCTATATATAGAAATTAGCAAACCAGTGATATTTTAGGGAGCAGGCTAGCAGGCTGGGCCCATTGCTTATATCATAGGAGCCAACACAACACAAAACACTGTTGCTGTATGTAGGTTTTATTGTATTTGTTTTTTATCTTATATTTTAGAAATGTACATCCAGGTTTTTTCCCTTTAATGTTTTTTGGGGGGCCCCAACAGAGTGGGGCCCTAAGCTATAGCTTGTTTAGCTTGCACACGATTAAAGGAGTCTTAAGTTGATTATTTGTGGGACGCTGGTGGCACTGTGGGTTAAACCACAGAGCCTAGGACTTGCTGATCAGAAGGTTGGCGGTTCGAATCCCCGCAACGGGGTGAGCTCCCGTTGCTCGGTCCCTGCTCCTGCCAACCTAGCAGTTCGAAAGCACATCAAAGTGCAAGTAGATAAATAGGTACTGCTCCGGCGGGAAGGTAAACGCCGTTTCCGTGCGCTGCTCTGGTTCGCCAGAAGCAGCTTAGTCATGCTGGCCACATGACCCAGAAGCTGTACACCGGCTCCCTCAGCCAATAATGCAAGATGAGCACCGCAACCCCAGAGTCGGTCACGACTGGACCTAGTGGTCAGGGGTCCCTTTACCTTTACCTAAGTTGATTATTAAAAACCGTTAGACAATCATGGGTGCAACATTACAGACACTGAACTGGGATGAAAGGGCTACTGAACTTAATGGGACTTGGTCCAAGGACAGAGATAGAGAGCTACACTGTCAAACTGTATCAGATTTCCACAGGGAGGGCAGAGCAATTCTGGGCAGGAGCGGATTGGCAGATGTACTCCAACACATTCCAAGCCGTGTCAGTTTGGACTGGCCAGGGCAGAATGCAGGATGGGGTGGAGGCAGCTTTTTGTTCCTTTTCAATACAGTGGTATCTCGGGTTACAGGCGCTTCAGGTTACAGATGCTTCAGGTTACAGATTCCACGAACCCAGAAATAGTACCTCGGGTTAAGAACTTTGCTTCAGCATGAGAACAGAAATCGCGGCATGGCGGCAGCGGGAGGCCCCATTAGCTAAAGTGGTGCTTCAGGTTAAGAACAGTTTCAGGTTAAGAACGGACCTCCGGAACGAATTAAGTTCTTAACCCAAGGTACCACTGTATGTGTGTGCATAACGTGATACCAGGCACATTTGGTCTCTTACAATGGTCTGACTCGGTATAACACAGTTTCCTATCTTTCTTCTATGTTCCTTCTTAACCAATTCATCCAACTGGCCAATCAGACGAAGGTTGATGCTGTACTCTATAATCATTTCTGCCCCCTCAATCAAAGTGGAAATAAAACAGTTTGCCGGCCAGGTTTCCCCACACTTCATAACAGGAAAAAAATCCAAACCCTTTCACTACAAAACCATTAAAAAAAAACTGATGGAGGGGAAGACAGTGGTTTTGGGGTTTTTGGTTGTGATGTGGGAGGGGCTCCTTCTGAAAAACTGAGCTGTTTGCGAAAAGGCTGCCCGACGGCAGGAAAGAGGAAAACTCAAAGAAAGGAGGAGAGGGAAATTAATGGGGATAATCTGCAGGCAGATTTTAACTCGGGGAGAGAGGTAGAGATGGAAAGAATGTGCAAATATTGTACATTAAGACAGCAACTCCTCAGCAAGGCAAACTAACGTGTGGGTGGCCCTGCGCATTGGCCCTTTCAAAAGGATAAGGCAAAGCTAGATTACATAATAGCCATGTCAAAGCTAATCCCCAAGAGGTACTAATAATATAATTCCACCTCAGAAAGAAACCAAAAAAGGCAGGCTCTTCAAATAATGCTGCGGGTGCCCCGACGAGAATCACCCACCCTCCGCCGCGCCACGAGGGGTGGAGTGACAGGAATGCGCCTAGAGATATTATCTTACGGCTCCCGCACAGACAGGGCGGGCTTGCAACTGTCCAGCTCTCGAAAACCACGATTCGGCTTCTGAGAATAGATGGGGCTCAGGAGGATCAGACCTGAGATTTGGCTTCCACAATGGAGACAGACAAGAGCGTGACACTTTGCGGATGTTCAGGCGCTCTTAAAATGGTATTCCTGGGGGTGGGGGGCGAACAGGTGAGCAAGTGGGACCCTGCGAGTCCCTTGTGGTTGTAAAGGTCCAGGAAGGGTGGGAGGAGAAACACCCACCACCTGCGATTCATTGAGAGGAAGTTGTCACTGCCCCATCAACACAACCTCGCCAGGGGTGGGGGTGTCTGCTCCCCCAGGTATCACGGAATAACCCCACCACTTGGCCTTCCATCATACATGTCATCTCTTTCATCTGTACCACACCGACTTGCATTTATTCGTGCAAGGTTCAATGTCCTTCCATCGAACCTGCTGAGCCACAGATTTTCCAAGGGTTTGGTGTCTCCGCTATGCGTGTGTGACGGGAAAACTGTTGAATCTCTTCCACATATAATGTTCAACTGTCCCCTACATAGCATAAAGGTAAAGGTACCCCTGCCCGTACGGGCCAGTCTTGACAGACTCTAGGGTTGTGCGCCCATCTCACTCAAGAGGCCGGGGGCCAGCGCTGTCCGGAGACACTTCCGGGTCACGTGGCCAGCGTGACAAAGCTGCATCTGGCGAGCCAGCGCAGCACACGGAACGCCGTTTACCTTCCCGCCGGTAAGCGGTCCCTATTTATCTACTTGCACCCGGGGGTGCTTTCGAACTGCTAGGTTGGCAGGCGCTGGGACCGAGCAGCGGGAGCGCACCCCGCTGCGGGGATTCGAACTGCCGACCTTTCGATCGGCAAGCCCTAGGCGCTGAGGCTTTTACCCACTGCGCCACCCGTGTCCCTCTACATAGCATAGCCAGGACTAAATTCCTGGGTCCTGCTTTACTGCGATTGGTTGTCAGGCCTGTTGAGTCACATGCCGCACTGCTTTTGCAGGATACAGATCCTTCTGTAACTGAATGAATGCGGTTATCTCACACACAAAAACCACCAAAAGACAACAACAACATCAAAAACTAATCGGACAGTTATGATGAGAGTGCATGTCGGATCTCGTCTTCAGTTTTCCTTTTTCTGTGATCCGTCCCTTGGAGCTCTTCGGGCCCCAAGCTGTTATTTGGCTCTGCTCAATGACCCACCCTTGCATCGTGGTGTTCACCTTCTGTTGTCGGATATATCGGTTTTTATGCCTCTGTGCTTTTATGTTTGTATATACTTTATGGGCTAATAGCCGTAAATAAATAAATAAATAAATAAATTGTCACTGCCCCTCCTACATCGGAACGCATAGCTAAATCCAATCTCATTTGGAAACCTAATGGGACATACGGATTGCTTACGTTCATTTGTATTCTTAAATCAGGATGCTTTTACTGTTAACATCTGCTGATGATGTTTCTTCCCCCTCTGTTATAAGAGCATATCTTCCTATATACATAAAAACGTAAGGCTGTCGTCACGCTTCAGTTTGCCTGACTGCCAACAGGCATGCTTGGGGCGGGTCTGTGAGGTGTAAAAGGAAGGGGGTTGGTCAGCTGTGCAGGAAGGGCGGTTGGCAAAGGGGCAGGCGGGGTTGGCGAGTGGAGCAAGCAGGGGCGGCAGCCAACGAATCAAAATGAAGACGCGTGACGCTTTTTCTGCTCTCTTGCAAGTCACAAACGTCAAACGTTACTTAATGTTAAGGGTGTGCCCGTTTGTACGTGGGAAACAGGGCAGATTTCTATCCATGTAAAGAGAGCCTGCTGGATCAGGCCAATGGACCACCTAGTCCAGCATCCTGTTCTCACAGCAGCCAACCAGATGTAAGCAGGATTTGGGCACAAGATCCCTTTCCACCCCCTGCAGTATTCAGATGCACTGCTGCCTCCAGCTGTAGAGGCAGGACATAGTCTTTGTCACATAATCTTTAGGCACCTGGCAGAAACATTCCTCTTCTCAGAATATTATGAAAAGAAAAAAAAGTTAGTAATTTGAACAAGTTAATTTTATTAGAAAGTGGATATTGGAAAATTGCTAAAATGAGATTTAATGAAAATCAGCTAGGAAGGATTTGAGGCAGTCATTTAACAATGGAATTTAATTTGGATCTTTGATTGGAAGATGTATGTTTGCTTTTTGTTTGTTGTTTTTTTATTTTTTGTATATGTTTTT